TGTAAAAATGCTCAGAACAACTAAAACTACATTGGAGTATTTTAACTCATTTCTAATTGACTTAAATTTATTTCAGTGTCAACAAAGACACAAGTCAAATTTTGCCGCCCCCCCCCCCAAATCTCAAAGAGAACACCAAAAACCAGGGGCTAACCCCTTCTGCTTTATCTTCTAGTACGGTTTATGCCAAATACAAAAGATGCAAATGCTGGGTGCAGGATAAGGGAAAGGCCAGAACAAAGCGCTCTCAAACAAACAACAACAAAAATTAAGTATCTGGTTGCATGGGATGCTTGGCTGATAATTAGGAAAAGTGGATGAACAGGGCTTAGTCCCAGCGCCTAGAAACCTACCCCTTAGAGCAGACTTCTCTGATGCACAGAAACTTGTAGAAGGCACCTCAAAAACGAGGGGTAAAATCTTTTAACTATTTTGGAGGTCATGGATTACATCCCTGGAAAAATACATACACACAGGGGTAGGATGGGAGAGGGGGAGGAGCAGCTGCTTCACAGATCCAGCAATAGAACCCCAAGGGAAATACTGAATTAAATCAATAAGCAAATTAAAACCACCAGGTGAAAGGTTATTAGGGAACAGGGCAGTCCCATGTCTCAAAGCATGAACCTACTGCTGACTTGTTATTAAAAAAAGGAAAAAGGGCTTTGCAATGAAGTGATCTGACAGATGTACCCTTAATACATCTACATCACAATCAAGCTCTGCATCACCAATAATACCACAAACTGGTATCACTATGCCTCCTGATGTGAAGTAATGAAAAGTCCTACCAAAAATGCTTAACCTGAAACTAACCAAGAAAAAAAGACAAAATTAGGTTGTGAAACATTCTACAAGACAACTGGCGTAGACTCCTAATAATGTTAATACCATTAAAGACCAAAAAACTAATAAACAAACAAACAAAAGGTGGGGGCGGGGGACTGCTCTAGTTTAAAGGAGACTAAAGAGACACAACAAACTCAATGTGTGGTCCTTGGCTGCATCCTGGATTAGGGGACAAAAGTTATAAAAGTACATTTGGGGAAGAATTAGAAAAATTTGGAAAAACAGACTGTATATTAGATTACTATTATTACTGTATAATGTTAGCTTCTAGAATCTAGAATGTGATACAGTACTGTAGTCTTATGCAGAACGACATCCTCATTCTTCAGAGACATATGCTGAAGTATTTAGGGTGAGATGTCACAAGAAGTCTGCCATTTACGTTCCAATCATTTAAGAAAAAGCATGTGCGAGCACAAATATTGCAAAAAACGAAATCAGAGCACCGAGAAAGCATGTCTATAATACATCCAAAGGCAATGCTTTTCTTTTGAATGTTCATCATTTGGATCAGCTCAATTTTTAAATGAAAGTATTATCAATCAAAAAACATTTTATTGTGGGTCCTAACCCTGCCCTTTGGAAATAATGGCTTTCTAAAGTTCAAATAAATAGACAACTTGTATAAGCTGATTTGCTCTTCAATCTCGACTTCAAGGGATGCAATGCAAGTAAGTATTCTTCATAATCTCAGAGAACAGTTCTGAGTAAAACGGAATCCATATGAAGAGGGGTAACATGAGTAATTAAAATGCAAAGATAAAACAACTTTTGAAGACAGATAAATGTGGAAGAATAAAGAAATAAATTGAACTTCCCAGTATTTCTCTTTAATTCCAGTTATGCCATTTGGGATATAAATTTTTGTAAGCAAACAAAATAAATTATTTAAAAAGCAACTTTTTCTTTGATCTAGTATTATATGAAAAAAGAGAGGCCCTGACCGGGTGGCTCAGTTAACTGGAGCGCCATCTGGTACACGAAAAGGTTGTGGGTTCGATTCCTAATCAGGACACATACCCAGGTTGCAGGTTCAATCCCCAGTCAGGGCGTGTGTGGGAGGCCGCCGCTCAATGTTTCTCTCTCACATTGACGTCTCTCTCTCTCCTTTCCTCTCTAAAACTAACTTGAAAAAAGAAAGAAAAAAGGCAGTAAAAACAGATGATTCCTAAGAACATGGAAGACACATATACTTCTTGAGAAGTCCCCCTGCTTTTTTTTTTCTTAAGAGAGCCTTTTCATTTTTCTAATCTAGGTTTATTCTGGATTTAAAATCACTATGTAGCTACAGATATTTATCTATGATAAAACTCGCTGTTCTGAACCACCGAAGGGGAGAAACTGCAACCCAGTACAGCAGAGAGGAACGTGCAGTTCCTTCTGTTATGGACATGCTAGATAAGCACATACTCTCCAATGTGCCAGTCAGTAAACACCTGAGACATAACAGAAAAATGAGAATACGCTTAAAATTTCATCAACAGTACACTGAAAGCAACAGTTAACATAATTAAATTGTCATATTCCCCAAAATGAAAAGTCACTTTAAAGCTTTTTCCATTAATTTCCCGTGTATATTATTTACTGTGTTAAGTATTATTCTCTTTGCTAAAATATCAGTCGGTATCTTGTACTATACTGTCCTCACAAGAGAGTTTTCACAAAAAAGAATACAGGAACTGGCTGCTTCGTTAGAAGCATAGAAAACGACAGCACCATCCAAGTACCACAGATGTCTGGGCCATAAAGCCTTTCAGCCTCCTACAACTAAAACGCAAAAGAAAGAAAGAAAACACAAGAAAGAGGTATACCAGGGCTTGGAAGTGAATGCAATACAAATGCATCCTAATTTTGAAAATATCCATGTAAGGATGAACTGGAAAGCCCTCATTTACTTTCAACGCCAGACCTTTCTCAACCATTTAAGCCCAGTAACACAGTAGCGGCAGTCAGGAGTTATCTATTTGTAGACAAGACATATGTACACAAAAGAGATAAGTATGCATGCAGAAGAAAGCAGATATAAAGACAGACAATACAACTGTATAAAACTGCACACTATTTATATTTACCTACTTTCCTCCGCATTGGGGTGGGAATGAGGAGATGAACAATCCTATACATGCTCATCTTTTTTCTCCTTTAAAAAAGAAACCTTTGAGAAGATATACAAATAGCCAGTAAGCACATGAAAAGATACTCAAAATCTTTAGTCATAAGGAAAATGCAAATCAAAATCACCCTGAGATACCATACCCATTAGCATGGCTATTGCCAAAAATGGGAAAACGAGAAATGCTGGTGAGGATGTAGAGAACTTGGAACCCTCATGCTGGTGGAAATGTCAATGGCAGAGCCTCCATGGGAAAATTTGGTTGTCCCTCAAAATGTTAAACATAGAATTACCATATAATCCATCTATTGCACTCCTAGGTATATAACCAAAAGAAGTGAAAGCAGCCCCCACTGGGTGGCTCAGTTGGTTGGAGCGTTGTCCTGTCCACCAAAAAGGTGTGGGTTTGGTCCCTGGCTGGGGCAGTTAGATACGAGATGCAACCAATGGATGTCTGTCTGTCTCCCTGCTCCCCTTCTTCTAAGAAATCAATAGCATATCCTCAGGTGAGGATTAAAAAAAGAAGAAGAAGAAAAAGAATCAGGTAGCCAACGTGGGGAAAGAACACTATAAGAAGGAGACATATGAGTTGAAAGTTGAAAGATAAGGGGTCATTCACCTATTCATTCAGCAAATATCTACTGAGCATCAACTATGTGTCAGGTAGTATATTCTAGGCAATGGAGATACAGTGTAAACAAGAAAACAATTTCTATTTCCATGGAACTTGCTTGAATTTTTATAAGAGTGAAGACATTAGGAGTGAGTCTCTACTACTTGTTCATGTTTTTTATTTAAAAAAAAAATCAATTCCTACCTGTGTCACAGGTGTATTAACTTGGGTTGATTCACTAGGGCCAAACAGTTTGATTCCAAGTCTGATGATGATTTCTAAGAACAAGCCAGCAAGGTAACATATGACAAAGGTCTGTAGACTGTATATATAGGTGGAGAATGTATCCTATTCACTTTTGTACCCCCACAACCTAGTATAAATAAATGACATACAACAGACACTCAATAAACACTGGAATGAATTGTGATTTCCAAAAGCAGTCAATATAAAGCTGGCAAAATGCCAGGCATTCTGAGCAACCAGTGCTAAAATATATTACCAGTGGACTATATTCCTTCTCTAAATCTACTCTGAGAAATCTAATCTGGAGAATTACACGGTACCTGAATGTTCAACTATAAAAATAATATTCTGTCCTAATCAGGAGTGGTAATTAAGAAACCCTCGCATAGTTAATGTATCTCAGAAGTGCACTAAAAGTATATGTCTGTGCATACATACACATAGCAGATTTATCTTATTATTTTAGTTTGGCATTAACATGGGCAGTCAAGAACAGAGGACCACACCTAGCTGTCAATCCCTGAACACAGCAGTCCCCCCTTAAACGTAGTTTTGCTTTCCACGGTTTGTTACCCACAGTCAACTGTGATCTGAAAATAGTAAATGGAAAATTTCAGAAACAAATAGTTCATAGGTTTTAAATTTCACACAGTTTTGAGTAACGTGATGAAATCTCCCATAATCCTGCTTCATCCAGCCTGGGAACGGATTCTTCCCTTTGTACAGCATGTCCACATTGTATATGCTTCCCATTCGTTACTTAGTAGCCATCTCTATTACCAGATTGACTGCCTTGGTACCGCAATCCGTGTGTTCAAATACTTAATAATGGCCCCAAAGCACAATACAGCAATGCTGGCAATTGGGATATGCCAAAGAGAAGTCATAAATTGCTTCCTTTAAGTGAAAAAGTTTGAGAGACCACATTCACATACCTTTCTTTTTTTATTACATCAGACGGATAATGTGCCAAAGTTGTACATCTCACACAAAAGCATGAACACCCAATCATTACGCTTATGAACTATAAAAAGATCGCATTCACATAACTTTTACCACAGTATACTGTTATAATTATTCTATTTTATTATTAGTTACTGTTGTTAATCTCTTATTGTGCCTAATTTACAAATTAAATGTTATCATAGGTATATATGAATAGGAAAAAACAGAAGTCTATGCAGGGTTTGGTACTATTTGCAGTTTCAGGCATTATACATTAACTAGCAACTGGAGGAAGAGACGGTTCAGAGAGCTGGAATGCAGAAGAAACTAACTTAGCATAAATATTCCATATAACATTGCATCCTCTTATAATATTCTCATTAAAGCACTGTAATATAAATTAAACAAATTTAAAACATGGCTTCACTATGTTTCCCAAGCTCCATTATATGTCCACGAGAAAAACTGTACAAGAACACCATTTTGGTTCTGTAAACAAACTCTTAGCCACTTAAATCCCTATCTATACTAATAAAAGGGCAATATGCTAATTAGGGCAGATGTCTTCCGGACATCATTCCAGACGTCCATCTGGACAAAGCTGCAGCTGCTGCCCGAGGCTCAGGCAAGCCACGGATGGTGGCTGCTGCTGTGAGGGCCCAAGGCTCAGGCAGCTGTGGCAGCTGGCAGTGGCAGCAACAGAGATGTGATGGGGGCGTTGCCTTGCCCTGATCGGCCACTTGCCTCCCCAGAGGGAGGCCAGACTAAGCCATCAGTAGGACATCCTCTGAAGTCTCCTGGACTGTGAGAGGGGGCAGGCCGGGCTGAGGGACGCCCCACCCCCCCAAGTGCACGAATTTTTGTGCCCCAGGCCTCTAGTTATAGAAATAAGCATTAAGGACAGAAGAAGAATGGGGACTGAGGAGAGAGGAAGAGAGTGCTGCTCTCATGCTTGGTGACCAGAGCTTCTGTCTGGGCACAGGGTTCTGAGAACCAGTGAGTGTTCCATTGCAGGAGAGACTTATAGAGTTTGGGGAGAAGTCTAGGGACAAGTGAAATCTATTCAGCTATAACAGATTCTAGGCAGGAAGAAATAAAGATTTATTTTTTATGTTTCCTACCATCTCTCAAACTTCTCCATTCTCAGTTGGTACCTTCCCCTGTATGAAAATCTAGTTACTGACCAGTGAAGTTTGTAAATGTGACTGATTTCACCTATTCCAGGTCAGGCTCTTAGGGCCTGCAAAGGTGACATGTTAATCTTATAAATTAATTCTATCAGCTAGAAAAAGATTCGTCTATCTCACTAAGTAAACACCCTCTTGAAGTGACTCATATATTCCACAGCTCCAGAACAAATTTCTAATTAAAGGGTGTATGTGGTAGAACACTAAAACATGCCTAAATATAAACTCAGATCTATTGGTAACTAGCTATGGAATCTTTGACCCTTGTTCAATTTCTCCAACTGTGTATTTCAGGGGGTTGGCTAGAATGATATTTAAGGTTTATTCTAATGCTAATATTTTCTATTTAGAATTACTTTTAAATTAATGAATACATGTTTGGTTTTTTTAATATATTTTATTGATTTTTTACAGAGAGGAAGGGAGAGAGATAGAGAGTCAGAAACATCGATGAGAGAGAAACATTGATTAGCTGCCTCCTACACACTCCCCACCGGGGATGTGTCCGCAACCCAGGTACACGCCCTTGACCGGAATCGAACCTGGGACCTTTCAGTCCGCAGGCCGACGCTCTATCCACTGAGCCAAACCGGTTTCGGCAATGAATACGTTTTACTTGATGGGAAAATGAGGTTTGAAATGTAGAAGGAAAAACAACTCTCAAGGAATGGAAAAAGTTATTTTGGTATTAAAGAGTTTACTTTCCATTGCAACCCTTTGGCAAACATTACTAATTCTGAGCTTTACTCTCCCCCACCCCCGCCCCTTAGATATTATACTGGTTTTCTATAGCTGCCATAACAAATAACCACACACTTAATGGCCTAAATAATACATATTTAATGTCTTACACTTCTGGAGGTCAGAAGTCAGAAATGGACCTCACTGGGCTAAGAGCAAGGTAAGGCCCTGAGAGAATCTATTTCCTTACCTTTCTCAGATTCCAGAGGCCACCCAGATTCCTCATGGCCCTATTTCTCCATTTTCAAAGCCAGCAATATTGCATTTCACTGACCATTCTTCTGTAGTCACATCTCCCGCTGAACACAGCTGGGAAAGTTCCTCTCGTTTTTAAAGAATCAATGTGATGACAGCCCAGACTCCAAGATGGCGTCAATAGTACCAGTGAAGGAGAAGAAACGCACAGACGTCAAATTAGGGGAGCTACCAAGCTGATATTGTTGTGGGATTTCACCGCTAACAACATTGCTGGAGAGTTTCAGGAGCTTTTCAAAGAGGTTACTACCAATATCATAACAAGTATGTCAATGTGATGAAAGGGAGCAACTTCCGTGTTTTTCAGCTACTGCCATTCTTATAAGGAACTCCAACATGAGGGGAACGCAAGTACAACTGAAGAGGGCCCAGTGTGGACTCCACAATGACCATGAGCTTTACCAATGACCTCGTAATCCTTTCATATCCTAACTAACATCTAGTAAAAGATGACCTGCACTGGGGGAAAAGAGTCTTTGTGATTATGTCAGGCCCATCTGGGCAATTCAGGGTAATCTCATCTCCAAATCTTTAACCTTAATCACAACTGCAAAGGCCTCTCTTCTCTGTAATGTAACTATTAACAAATTCCAGTGATTAGGATGTAGACACCTTTAAGGAGCCATTATTCTACCTACCGTAGATACCTAGTCATCCAATCAAGGTCATAAGAATTTCTCCCAAGTCTAGAGTTCTGTTGATTTACTCCGTTTTATACTTAGGGTTCTACAAGATCCTTTGTTTTTCTCTCCTTTTATTTACTTACTAGAGGCCCAATGCCCGAAATTCATGCAAGAGTAGGCCTTCCTTCCCCCGGCCGCCAGCACCAGCTTCCCTCTGGCACTCGGGACCCGGGCTTCCCTCCGGCTGCCGGGAGCCGGTCCATCCTTGCTGTTTCAAGGGACCTGGCATATATGGCATACTGTTCTTAATATGTTTGCTCACCTTCTTGGCGCTGTGTTTTAACCAAGGTCACCTCTCCGAGAAAGGTTGTTTCCCCAGGTAGGGATTTTCCCCTGAAGTTAGGGAGGGAATAAAACCTCTTAACTAAGTGCCAGGCGGGTAATTAATCACTTTAAAGTGATTATGAACAATCATGCTTAAGCTACATAATCTTTACTCCCTGGAATGGAGATAAGAAACGCCCTAACCTTTGGAATAGAGATTGATAGGATTGGAATCAACTGGTATAAATACAGATGTAACAAGACAGAGAGAGACAGAACTCAGAAGACAGAACCTACATAGAACCTAGAGACAGAAGAACTTCGCTGGAGAGAACATGGCAAAAGATCCTGGACAGAACCTGGCTACAGAACTTGGTTGGAGAACCTAGACAGAACCTGGCTGAAGAACCTGGCTACAGAACCTGGCGACCGAACCTGGTTGGAGAACCTAGCGAGAGAACATGGACACAGAACTTGGCTGGAGATTGTGGCTAGAGATCCTGGCAAGTCTGCTGATCAACTGAACGCTGTCTCCGTGTCATTCCTTCTTCGCCGACTCCATCCACACCTTTGGGGACCCCTGGACCTGCTGGGGTTGGACCCCAGCATCTGGCCACCAACAAGCACCCGGGACCTGGGCTTCCCTAGCAGCCCCAGCTTTGTCCAGAAAGTCATCCAGTTTAATTAGCATATTGTGCTTTTATTATTATAGATCATCTAATTGGATAACAGCATTCTAACCTACAATAAAATTAAATCTTACATTTGGTACTTATCATTCTGAAAATTCCCTCAGCCTTTCAGAAAGCCCAAACTGGAACATTCATTTAGTTTCTCAATCTATAAAATTAAAAGTGTAATATGCTAATTAGACCGGATGTCCTTCCGTCCTTTCGGACAAAGCCAGGGCTGCGAGGGAAGCCCAGGTCCTGGGTGCCTGCCAGAAGCTGCTGCTGGCAGCCGGGGGAAGGAAGGCCTACTCTTGCACGAATTTTATGCATTGGGCCTCTAGTTTTGTAATAAGCTCAAATTTTAGGTAAACTTGGTATACACAATACATGTTTTCCTACCTCATCAAACTTAATCACTGGGAAAGTATTTAAAAAATTATTCTGAGTTCTTACATAATTCCGAAATTTGAACAGCATGTTATAAATGTTGAACATACATGAATATTTTTATAGATTTAGTGGCTTACACTTAACATAATAAACTATACATAAAGTATACAATTTGGTAAGTTTTGACACATGTATATATATCCATAAAGTCATCACTATTAGTAAGAAAATGAACATACTTGTCACCCACAAAAGTTTCCTGTGTCCCTTTATAATTCATCCCTCACCAGCTCACATCTCCAAGCAATAACTGATCTGCTTTCTAAATAGTTGTATTTTACAGAATTTCATATAAATGGAATCATGTCTTTTTCCCCATGGCTCCTTTCTCTTATGGTAAATTATATTGAAAATCAAATACATTGTTGGGTGTATCAATCGTTCATTCCTTTTA